AATCGTTTTCAAAACCGCTTATTAAAACTCAACGATTTCATTGCTCCGAACAATTTTTCATGGGGGTAGTACACCAGCCCAGGGTAAGTGAATAATACGAATTGTTTGGTGAGATTAATATGCAATCTTGGGGCCCTAAGGGAAAAAATCTAACTTTATTATTGTTCTATATTATATATATATTGTTCTTCTACTGCCGCCCTTTCTAACCTTGTTTATCTCTTCTACGACTACGACTACGACGACGACTAGGACTACTGCTGCCACTACCACTACTACCACTACCACTACCACTACTACTAGTACTTCTTTTGGTGGCGGGGATTCTCTTCAGACCCCCGTGGATTGTTTGCTAGGAGGGGGGGGGCCCCCGTACTAATTAGGATCGAACATTAATGCAGCATGAAAGAACATGTGACAATCAAAGTGCAAAGTCATCGCATGAGACAATCGCTTCACTTGTTGCACCGAAGACGTTCGGAATTGAAGGGGGGCCCTTGGATTTGCTGACTCCCACGGTCCCACGGTCTGCTCGTGGTAGGCCTCCCATCGGCCCCATTGGGCTCTCGATGGAAGCGATCGGGTGCTCCGCATCTTCCAGGTGTACAGGACCTCTGCTGAAACACAGCAATCTGAGGTTTCCAGCCGAGGCGGAAGTCCAAAGAGACAAAACGAGACCGCCGGACTACCTGAGACTTGGCCAGTTGGAGGATCTTTTCGATAGCCGACGGTAGCCGAGCTTGCAAGGGATGTGCGGGACTGCGGGTTGTGAGATGATGCCTCGGAGGGCGAAAAGCGGACGCCATACACGTATACTCGGACTTGGGTGCTAACTAGGCCGAGGCGAGGAAATGGAGGTCTAGGATTCTAGGATTGATGCTGCACGACCAACCTCCTCATTAACCATTAAACTGTCCATTGGCTCGCCGGGCCTCGCTGGACATTGCAGTTGAGTAGTAGTTGGAGTTTATGAGGATTTGTCCAGTCGTGTCCAGGAAGGAAAGTGAACTCGTGGCCTTGATGGATCAGAATGGCATCGGCACCGATGCCTCGATCCCACAACACGTACAGCGACTTGGAGACCGTCAAGCGGGGATGGGGTTGGGTTGCAAACCCATCGAGGACCGGCAAAGGAAGCGCCAGAGAAGCCGGTCTTCTGATTGCCTTACAAGGCACACGATTGTGGGAACATGGTATGTCAATTCATGGTTTTGCTTTGGACTCCTAGTCCTAGAGCACCTGACTGGCGTATACGCGAGCGTAGCATGCCATGTCTCAAGTGTGCTTGAGCAAGCATTCACTGTTCACTGCGTTTATGGGCTGAAGGACTCACTTCATGTGAACCAACCTAGCCTACCACCTCGCAGAAGAAAAACGGGGTACCAAGCGTGCAAGCCCTCCAAGCTAGACATTGGACCTCCGAATGCAGGCACTAGCTTCAGCCTCACCGCCTTAGTGTAAGCATTTCACCAATTTTCCTCCCTTGACTGCGTTGGGATACTGTAAGTGCCTTGGTGCCCTTTTTGTGTTCTTCTTGTATTTGCTTGTTCTTGTTTGAGGAATGTGGTTGACCGGCACTACGTGATGATTTGTGGCCCCGGGGATGATGGACAACGCGGAGAAATCATTTCGAAAGGCAGAGGCAAGGGGAAGAAAGGCCGGGTTGCACACTTTTTTCACATTCTTCCGTCGCTCCAATGTGGAAGAAGCAAAAGCCTGGAGGCCACTTCGGCCTGAGGGAGGAGCATTTCTTGTGGGATTCTTTCATTTGCAGTTGATAGTGGCATACCTTTTTTGCGGGCCGCCCAAAGCTATATACTGTCAAATTTAGAGCAGGAAAGAGCAATTAACCATTGGAGTATAATACCTTAATACCTTTTGTGGGCCACCACCCCAGGGGCGAGAACAAAAACAACAAAACATCCTAAAGCCTCAAGCATTCAAAGCCCAAGCCTGAGCCATAGGCCGCCATAGACTCGCCTGGAGGCAAAGGGAAGGGCAAAAGCAAAGGAGTCAAAGGTGAAGATGGACGGCCTGCCTCAAGGCCCGGCAGGACCTGGCAGGGCCTGCTGCTTTGAGCTGATTTATGGACTATCATGGACCATCATGGATCGCTTGATTGACCTACTATGGTATGCGTTATTCATAATTACGCATGTATATGAATGTGGGTATGTCGAAGTAAAATCAACAAGCATACTTGCTATTACTGTACTATATGTTTTGGTTTTTTCATACACGTGCGCAGGTCGTTTCCGCCGTTCTCCGTCCACGTCACAATCACAAGCGTATTTCCTTGCGCAATTTATTGCTGTCAAACTAATCTCAGAACCATTGGTTGCCTGCCTGATGTATTTTTTTGCTCGGCACATCCTTGACCACTTCAGTGGGGTTTTGGTGGGTTTGCGTCCAACCTCAGCGGTTGCCGTTGCCACAAATGTTGCCACCGGGTCCGGACCAGGCATATGGTGCCGACGCCACTGGGCCTCAGTATGTTGGCAGCCTTTGAGGAGTTGGATCCCCAGCATCTCGGCTTTTCCGCACCGTCCGCTCCGGCGCCTGCTGTTTCGGTGGGGAGGCAGCTCAGCCATTCGTCGGATCGGGGTTCTTCACCGGTGGTTTCCAGCACGCGATCGCAATTCGTGAGATCCCGGATGCAATGAGCGATTCCAGCAAGGTCCTTGGCTGAGCCTGCAAGGTGGGAATTCCAGGTTCATTTTTCCCGGCACTGCAAGCAGGTAACTTTGGAAGGAACATATCATTGGTGACCTTCTCTAGGTTCACCGTAGTTGTGTCAGTCGTGCCCACTGTTGTCTCTTTCAGGATGCACTCTGTAGTGAACCTGTACTGTAGAGACTAGAGAGTCAATGTCCATGTGGAGTGTGGTGGTTGCTACCACTGCTTGCACTGTCCTAGGCTTTGCAGACCGCCCATCCGTGCTTTCATGGAGAAGCAGGCAGACAGGATGCCAGGGGATTTGGCAGATTCACTTACTGCACACCTGGTGTAATTTCAATGTGTTGTCGTGGTTGGTTTACCAGCGAAGGTGCTGGTGAAAGCTATGAGATTTTCCGATCCTGCCAGTTCTCCTTAGCTTATTCTGTGATGCAATAGCACCGCACCAGGCACTGACAGATATATATTACATATATATATATATAAACTTGAGATTTAGGGTATCCCTTTTTACCATCTTCATGCTTCACTTGTACCGTGTCAATGCATCTATACGAGCACGGTGTCCTCATCAAGGAGGACCCGTTCTTAGGATCACAACTTTTCAGGTTCGTGTCTGAGAAACCTATGCTACAATGTTCTGAAAAAGGTTTGCCAGTTGTTCTCTACAAAAATAAACTGTGGTACGTACCAATCAAGGACGGATGTCAGTCATTTAAAAAAATAACAACTACGGCAAAAGGTGTTGAAGTGCAGCTCTGGGACAGTGTTTGGCGCATGTTGGCGCCATTTACACCAGGACCAGGTAAATGAGCCCGACACCAACTGTCTGGTATAGTAGAAGAGGAGATTTTGGATAAGGTCGTGGAGTGCATGTTGTACCACCAGAACCTGATATATATATATATACACGAGGGTTGGTTAAGACAGAATGCTTGTATGCAGGTGTAGGTTACATAAAGGATGCCGTGTTCTACACATGTGAAGGCAGTTTTTAAAGGAGAAACCTTTGAATATCCAATTGTTAGACAGAACAGTATTGTTATGAAGGCAGGAGAAGAAAAAGAAGGAGACACATAAGACGATTCCTTGTCAAGCTTGTTTCGTATTGGGCTGGAAGTTTATGCAGCTAGACTTCACATGGTAGATGATCAAATGCAACATCAAAGGTGCTAAAAACGTGCACTTCCATATGCCGGCCTCAAAACTTCTTGGCATGGCCCCCATGACCATCTGGTTCCACAAGCCAGTGCAGAAGCTGAGGGTCCAGATTCTTTTTCTAGTAGGCCAATTCTTGAGCAGCACCAATGTCTTCTTGGCAGGGCAGCGCACTCGCCAGGTTGCCCAGATTGCAGATGGATTCTTGGAGAAGGCGGACGTGACGGCGCAGAATTTGGATTTGCCGCTGGCCAGAAACATGCAACACGTGGGCGTGGGTGGCTGAAAACTCGAAGACTCGCGGAGAAAAAGAACTTAAGTGCAGCTTCCCGCAGCACCAACTCCATCACCTGATACTTAATTAGTCTGGCATCGGATACGCAATGAGGGCCTCGTTTTTCTTGTTCTGTGGATACACTTTTTATTCCATGAGTGAATAGTGTGCCAACAGCCATAGAAGTAGAGGTCTTTGTGCGGTGGCCGGAAACAGATATACAACTGGTCCCTTGTCTTTCGTGGGGTCATTCATTTGATGCCCTCAAGGGACTCCAGAGAGCCCTTTCTAACTGAATCAGTGTGCTTCAGGTTCTTTTCCAAGTTCGTGAACTTCAGTGCTACTTGGTCAGCACTTGCAGCATGTGTGATGAAGGGAAAACCTGAAGGGAAGAATCTAAGAGTAAGAATGTCCCAGTGGATGATGCAAGCCGATGTAAGCTTTAACCATTTCCTGGCAGCTTGAGGGACTTGAGAGTCGCAGCGGGTGCCGTAGACGTTGTATGCATTAGTCGTTAGTTGTAGAAGAGTGGGTAAGTTTGTTGGACCGTTTTCACGTGCCACATCTCCTTGAGCACGCTGGCGTAGGAGAACATCAGCCGGCTTAATCGCTTTTTCATGAAGAAGGAACAACTGCAAGGCCAGGGGCTGGGGAAGAACTAGATCTAAGTACCTGCGTTCAGAAAATGTTCCTTCCCAAACTCGAAACTTCAATTCCTGAAAGGAACATAGTAGCTCGCACTTGAAGAGGCCCTTTATATATTCTTAGCACCTTTGTTACTAGACTAGTAGCTTCTTGTTACTAGTAGCGATGGCCTCCAACCTACTTGCCATGGCATCCACCAAGCATAGCGTCCTTTTCGATTCCACATGAGTCCATTCAACGGACCAGCGGTTTCATGTTGTCCGAACGCCCCGGACCCTTCGGACCCAAAGGGTCGAAGTGTGAGGTTTGTAAAGAAGCTGGATGTTACACCGGTTCCGCCCGGTGTGATCGCGGGTGGAAAGTTTGATAGATTAGTTTACAGTACCCTCCTGATTAAATACAGTATGTAAATACAGTATGTATGACATATAATAATATATTTCTGATTAGACGGGATATTAAACATCGTAGAGACATGCTGAAACTGAAGACTGAGACCTTCACGGAAGATTCCCATAGATTCCCCCAAATGCCGGGCTGCAACTATAACTATAACTACTATATATATATATATATGTGGTCGTTCTTTTGCTTCTTGGGGCAACATGGTGCTTTTTGGTATGGTTTGCATACTACTGGTGGATGGTTTTATCATCCCCTGTTTTTTTGGTGGGCACGCCAGGTCAATGGCAAGAGTGGGGCAGCTGGACGCCCAAGGGCAAAGGCCCTTTCCGGGCGGGCCCGGAAGGTGGCACTGCAACAAGTCTTTTTTCCTTGAGGTGTAGCTGATCAGCCTTTGTATGCCACCAGACTCCATTTGCAACCCTGAAGACTTGAGGACCGGAGTCGGTCGTTGCTGTGAGACGCAGCTCATAGCAAGAGCTGAGGTACCATCTTGCAAAGAAAGACCTCTCGCTGGTCTGCTCTGCAGAACAGTTTCAATTTTGGCCGACATTTCTGGTGAATCAGCTGAAAAGAGCTGAAAAGGGCACAGCACACAGAGTTTCCAGCTATGACTGGCTGGGTTTGTGGGCGGTCTACCAATTGTGGACCAGGTTGGCTTGAGACCTATACTCAATGTTTGCAGGGGATCGTTTGATTTCTCCCTAGATCCAACAAAGAGCCGTGGTTGAGTCTTTGATGCTATTTGCGGTGGTACTTGTGCTCGCCGCTTAGAGTGTGCCCCCAGAATTTCTCCAGTCTCTCCTCCGCTTTTTCGCGTCCTTTTCGTTGGGTCGCTTTTTGGCCGTTCATGGTCAGGCAGCAGTCGAAAGACGTGACCAACGGCTGCACCAAAATGCGGGCCACGAACAGTCTCGGGCAAGCGACCCGGTCTCATGTGATCGCCTAACTTCGTTTGGTTGGATGGGTGTCGGTATCCAACTCGGAGTCGGCTTGCTTCAACTGAACATGAAGAGATAATCTCGCACAATGCCACAGAATTGGTGCTAAGGCTAAGTCTTATTACTTATTTGTTAAAGTCGGGTTGTAACATGTTGTAACATCAATTGGACCATTTGTGTGGAGGTTTTCCTAGAGAGAGGGGCTCTGAGCGTGGCGGATACCAGTAGAACGCCAATGGCTCTGCAGCTTCAAAACCATCAAGTTTGAACTTCGAATCCATCTCTGCCAAGGAACAGAATGGTCAAGAACTGCCATGCAGGAGCAGGTGCTCCTTCAAGGACATACAAAGAAGGGGTTCCAATGTTGGCGGGACCATGCGGGACCACTCACACTAGACGGCCTGATCTCTTTAGTCTTTAGAGAAGCATGAAAGATTTGGGTCTCAAACGGACCAATGCAATGCATGTGGCTAACTCGAAGCTAGCTGTTCTGTACGAAACAAATCCTAGAGAAGATCTAGCTGGCCGTAGCCTATGGCCAATCTCCTGGGGAGGAGGATGAGAGAGAGAGAGATATATGATATATATATATATATCTTGGTTCGCGGGAGGGCGCTTTGTCTAGCAGCAGACGCCTCACTTTGGGCCAGGAGGGGATTTTGGACAGACTCCGCTGTTGACACTCCGGGCGATAACATAGGTTACATGATACATGTGTGGATTTCGGGCGCTTTCCAAACGCACGTCATTCCCGTGGCATCCCTGGCATTTTGGGCCGGTGTTTGCCATTTCTATGGGAGGTGTTTAGCATGCGTGCAAGGTCAGGAAGGATTGCAAAGTCAAAAGCAAGCTAATCACTGCCCAATTGACTTGACATTTGACTTGAATTTCTTGCCAGGTCGTGAAGTGCACCAAGTGAGATGCAGCTGAGAAAAGTGGCGGAAGCACAGCTGAACATGTAAAAAAATTGGGCCCCGCTCGG